CGGGGAGCTCACTTGCATAGAGTACTACCTGTCTCTTATACACATCTAGAAAAGGTTCATCAGGCTATGACTGATAGAAAGTTAAGCACTATTCTTCACTATCTTTGTGGCCATAACTGTGGTTTGACTATTGCAATACGGATATTACGCAAATGTCTGCAGTAGAACTACAATGTCTGGGTTACGAAATGTTCGCCACAAGTCGTCCCAATTACCCTATTCAGCATATTTCACAAGATAATTCAGTTACCATGGCAGTTGTTGTTGTCATGATGCCTGAGCACCCCTCTTATTGTTTAACATTGAAAACAAATATTACAGTAAATTAATGGAAATGAATGACAAATTTGCTTTAAATGTTAACAACCAATTTATGGTGTAGTCATAGCCATCGATATGCACCATCCGTAGTTTTGCAACTTGCGTAAAGTTCAGTGGACGTAATATTTCTGTTCAGCACCCCCTTTTTAAAATTCTGGATATGCCACTGAATTAAATTATGATGTACTTTGTATTGTATTCAGGCCCGTAGGCAAGGGGGGGGGGGGGTGCAGAGGGTGCACCCCCCAAAAGGTCCACTTTTTAAAACCTATTATTTCACAAAATCGTTCCTAATTATCACAAAATGCTATAGCATGCATTGCATTATATATTTGCCAGCACATCCAGCTGTTGATTTTAAATATGATATGAAATTTGTTGGAAATTTATCGTCTCCAGTGACTGCAGATTGATCTATAACATGAACAATGTTATCTGTAAGCCTGCAGATGTACAGGACATAATAACGTTACTTCTTCAGGTCCCAAAAAAAACCCAAATTAATGAGAATTTAAATAAAATATTCACGAATTATGTGTTTGAGAAATCCATTATATAAGACCCTCAAAATACTACTTTGTCGGAGTCTCCTGGGGCTTTTCTCAAAAACCCCCTCCAGGTCTCTGCCTCTGGACCACCAAATTTCAAAAAGTCCACTTTTTAAAACCTATTATTTCATTAAAATCTTTCCTAATTATCGCGAAATGCTATAGGCCTAGAATGCATTAAATTTTTTTTACCCGCTCTTCTAACCGTTGGTTTTTAATAATGTGCTACGAAATTTGTTGGAAATTATCAGCTCCAGTGATTGCAGATTGATCCATGTCATCTGTAGACCTACAGATGTAAAGGACATAAAAAGTTACAACTTAACAGTGGCGGATTAGGGGGTTGTGGGAGGAGAGCTCTCTAAAATTATAAAAGAAATGGAGAAAAAAGAAAAATCGTAATTAAATTTTGTTTGAGAGTGCCATTTCCGGCCATCTAGAGGTGCCATATAATCATATATTTTCTTACCTCTGCCCCAACCATCTGTGAAAGTTCCTTTCGGCCCTGGACCCCACCCTCTATTTCTTCTGCTTTATGCCCCTAAACAATACCCAAATGAATGAAAATTTATATAGAATATTACGAATTATAGGTTTCAGAAATCCATTATAAGGCCCTCAGAGCTTCCAGGGGATTCGCCACCCCCCCCCCCCCCCCACGCGGGGATCCCACTTGAACTACCATTTACCAAAAATGCACTGTGCTCTAAAAGACGACAAGAAAAACGCCACTCAATAGTGCCAGAGAGGGTGCAATATTTATTGGTTCCCGATGGCAAAAAGTGTTCCGTCCGGTCGCAATCTCGTGGCTTTACCAAAGGTAGGCTTAGCACCCAGTCTTGCTTGAAATTCCCGCTAACATCGTGTGGAAAATCGTGGCACTTTAACACAGGATAGGCTAGGGAATTTAACTGTCAATTGCACCCCGGTCATTTCCCACGCTTGAGCTACCAAGTCCTCGCAAGTATATCCCATAAATGCTGCAACTTCCCCCATATTTTCCACACTTGTGCTACCAAGTCCTTGAAAATATATCCCGTAAATGCGGCACCTCCCCGTATAGAACTATTTAAGAGTGAGCCCCCCCCGGTGGAAACACTTTTTTATTCATTTACATTTATTTTTTCACAGTGAATTTTAAGTGCATAAATGTTATTCTTGTACAGTGTTTTTAGAAACAACAAGCTTGAATTTAAGTGTCTTCACACAGGAAAACCAATGTTGATTTATTACACAAATCTGTTATTGTTAATCAGGGCACATGACAGGAGTTCAGCATAAGATTTAGAAATACATTAAATTTCACAAATGCACGGGTTCACAGAAACAAGTAGATTTGGATTCAGCCTCAGTTATCATACATAATCTATAGGGTAGGATTATGTAGACATTACTACCGGAAGACATGAAGGCCAATAAATAAAGGTCAATAAACTATTAGACAGGTTTTTAATTCCATAAATCAGTGTAATTATCATTAACCTTATTTTCAAATTTTAAAAAATATTTAAAGAGAATGTTACTTGTATGGAATAGTATTAATTTCCTCTCTGGGCACATTCCAGAGAATATACAAATAATAGTAATCAAATTAGCAACCATATGGTAATTAGGCAATCTTTAACTCAGTTAATCTTGAAGGGGACATTATGTGACATGTCCCCACGAAACTCAGTCGAAAAATAAAATGTATGGGATTTTAAACAATGGCATAGTATTAACATCAGGAGCTGATATGGATGGGGGACAAAGTTTGATTGGGCAGGGGGTCAAGGATTAATTTAAAGTTTGAGCTAGCTGGCAGTAGAGTTATCTTGATTTTTAACCACAGCAAACATGGAACAGTTTAAAAAGCCTCCCTAGTCTCAACACAATGTGTATGTTATAAAAAATGTAACAAAAATATAGTTAAATATTAGGATAATATTATTTAAACTACTTGAATTAATGAAGTATAATTTAAACTACTTAAATAGTAATAAAATATTATGTAAATTACTTAAATATGAATACAATTATTATCTTTCTGCTAAAAATTTAGCTCGGTAGGAGCAAATATATCGCCAAAAAATGGCGCGCTCTATAGAACCTCTCTAGTTGTCCCAAGCTCCATTAGTATATATTATTAGCTTAGTATTTATTATTATACCTTTTTCCTGTACTTAACCGGTAATTAAATTATCCCACTCATTTTTCTTCTCCAATTTTCATCAAATTTTATTAAAATCACCTCTCTTTTCCTCTTGTCCTTGCTTTTTCCTGACATTTATGAAGAGATAATATGGAACGTGATGACTAGAATAACTTTTTTCTACAATAAGCTCTCAAGTTTAGCCTATCAGATATATACATCAATTTTTTAATCCGTAGGCATATACAGTACTTCCATCTAAATACTCCTTTTAAAGAATTGGAATGTTTTAGATACTAATGTATTTGTTGAGATTAAATTTTAAAAATCCATTACAGTTTGCCCTCCAATTCGATTCCACATCTGGAACCTGACAATGTGGGGGTGGTTTCAGGGTTCGGTTTTCACTCAACAATTTCATACGTTTGATGTTTTTCTAAATAAAGATACTGTTTATTTTTCTTTGGAGTTTCTAAGAAAAAGAACACTTCTTTCTAATAACATTTTATAGATACATTTTCATGATAAATACATACATATAATTTAAAGACTACCGGTATGATGTTTATAAATAGAACAATGATGTCATTTAGGGCAACATAGTGACATTAATGTTCTACTCATAAACATTAATGTCATTTAGGTCTACATAGTGAAAATTTTTAAAGGCATTTCTAATCTAACAAAGAGAATATTTTTTCTAATACAAAAATATAATTTACAGATATATTTTCATGATAAAAATGTTAACTTTGAATAAGCCTACATATTATCCATGGTAGTGAACAAAAAGAACATTTATTTTTCTAGTAAACAATAATAATAATATTTTAAAGATTTTTTATTACCAGTAGCTTTTGTCATACTACTCTATTTGCTAAAAAATAAGATCTTAATAAGTTTTAATTTGTTGAATTTAATGTGCTTAATTTTGTGATGATCTTTTTTTGATTATTTAAAAGTTCTTTTTTTATTAGAATAACAAAAACATATTTAGAAGTTAGCTGTGTGTTAAAAGATTGAAAGTTGTTTTTTGTCCGTGTGTTTTTCTATTTTACCGAGGACCTCAACTTGACCACACACCTATGACCCGATGACCTTTTGAACACTAGTGCTGCACTGTGCTGGATTTGCGTGTACAACGCGTTTCCAGAGTTTTTGCAAAGGTTCTCAGCTGGCGGGAATGTTTGAAAATGTGTCACAACTCGTTATGCGCTTTTATTTGAGTGGCGTCGCTCAAATAAATAGCGCCCTCTATGCATACAACGTTAAGCATGTGTGTGCCGGTGTCCATGGCATATACCTGAGTGTATTTTATGGTTCTCGGCATACTTTGCCCTCGCTCGGTCCTCTGATGACTGTGTTTAGTAAGGG